ATTATATAAAAAAATTACGTAAAATAAGTTATTGCGTTTTTTAATATAAAATTTTATAATAGAAATAGTCAATGAATTCAATCAATTGCACTAGAAAGGAGTATTGAGATATATTGAGACATTATCTTTCTAATTTTTAAGAATAAATATCGAAAATTCTGCGCTTAGTAAATTTAATGCGCTTTAGTTAATACTGTTGGATTAACTTATCAGGTATGTAAAAAGAGCCGGGGAAATCGGGGGCTTACGAAGAAAGAAAGTAAAGTTGTTCCCATCTAAAAAGGGTCGTTGAAACTTTTAAAATATGTTCCTCCCCTTTATCTTCTCATCGGGTTATCCTACTCTTGATTTTACTTTAGTTTGAACTTTGTAAGCAGAAATAATCCAGGTTTCAAAATGAATCGAAATAAAAAAATATAGCCTGTCTCTTTCCGTCTCTATTTTTGAGACAGAGAAATATGCACGACGGAAACCCAAATGAAAACACGCGGTTATTAAAAACAGTGAAACACTATATAAAGTAATAAAAAACAAAAATGATTAGAATATCCCATAACGAACATTGATTTTGATAAATGATCACGCGACGGTATATCAGATGATGTACCTCCATACACGCTTTTATTTATTATTACGTAATTATGTTATATTCACAAAATTTAAAAAAAGATAAATATTATAGGCCAACTAAACGAGCAATTAAATAAAATCTAAAGATTTATTAATAATTAAATAATTAAATTCTCATTCCGTTAGAGAAACAATATACAGCGTAACCGTTTCGACTGCACTACAGTCTTTTTCAATACATAAAAATCAAATATTAAAATACAAAGTTAAATATTAAAATACAAAGTTAAACGATTCTTCGCTGATGACCAATAGATGAGTAAGACGATTGGTCTGAGATTCCAAGTTTTGCGACATTTAATTATGCTGTGGATATTTTACGCGAATTAAATTAATATCAGAGAAAATTAAAAAATATTTCAACTTACATTATCGTTTTAACAAGTTCTTATTCTCGACATTTCAAGTGTGTGTTTCGAAGTCTAAATAACAAATGTCAAAGTAGAGAGCGTGATGTATCTATTTATTACCAATGTTTTTTCTAAACTATGATTCAGCTAATTTTTTAAGTATGTCAAAATAACTACTGTCTAGCAATTCGGTGTCTCTGTCTAAATTAATTCCATTTTTCTGTTCTTTAATTCTGATAGCTAATAAATATCCGCCGATAGGAACAAATATTAATCCCGTCGTCGTCCGTCGACGGTCCGTAAACAATAATTCGCGTCGCTGTGCAAAATTAATTTTTACGACCGCGTCGATTAAACGGCGTCGCCGCCACTCGAACGCGTGCGGAAAACGGCAGGCTAATGATTCATCAATTTCAATTCCGATGATTTACACGCCTGCGAAATTACGCCCGGACGTTTTACCGCGAAGAAATACGATCGGTCTGGTAATCATCGTGCGAGCACGATGTATCAGCAAGCCTCGTTCAATCGGCGGGTGTACTATACTTTTTTTTTGCCATCGTCGACGATGAACGCGAACGTTATTGCGAGGATTGGCGGTGGTGCATCGAGAACACCACTGCGCTGCATTATTCCGGACATAATCGCATTCGTTCGCGGTTTATTGGCTCGCTGTTATATCGATATATCGGGTGTGCGGAAGGATAACTCGCCAAATAAGGTCATCCGATGAAAATTTGTTCGTGCACAAAATTTGTCACTTATTATTAAATGAATTGGAGAGCTCGTTGTTAGCCTTCGTTCGTGCATTATATAGTTGAAGCACAAATGGAAAATATTAAATAAGCATAATTTTGAAGTAACACGTAAGAGAAAAAATAATAAACGCGTAAAGAGATTAAAATGTATCGAACAATTGTAATAAGCACGTACGTGTACGCGCTGCATTCTATGTTTGCTTTCCATGCAACGCGGTTTATTTGATGACAGTACTTACCTAAATATACGCTCGCAATACACTTCGCTCGCATGGAACCACAGTAGTGCCGTTTTTAATCACCGCGAGCACCGGTGCTAAAAGCGATGCTCGACGAGACAGTTATCGAGCTATTCAGCCCCCAGTCGTGGGGCGAGTGAACGCCAGGTAACGGCAGATCCGGTAAATCCTCGTGCAAAATCGGTGCGCGTAAAATCGGCGGCGCGGTACCACCGCGTGCTTCGATTTATACGCGCCAGGTTTTCGTTTTCCATCCCCGTGGGTGGCGATACAACGGGTGGGGCAGATGAAATGGATCAACGCGTCGCGGATGAATGCGCGGCGGCGTCGCATGAAATGGAATTTACACAAGTTTTAATTGCCGCCCCGCGTGCAAGACGGAAAACCTCTTTCGCGAACTCGACCTGACGGAGAGAGTAGTTGCCAGTAACGTTGGTGCTTGAAGAGCGGGAGCACAAGTGTTTTCACCCCTCGAGCATTCCGACTCGGCTCGACGTACAATCCCGTCGTCGTCGTCGTCCCTTTATATATCGCGTCCCCTGTCGCAATTTACAACCCTCTCGCGAGGAGCGCGCTCTCTCTCTCTTTCTGTTTCTATCTTCTTTTCTCTTTAACAACGAAGTCAATCTCTGGAACTTTGCTGACGTTTCTGTTTTATTGGGCGCAATCTGTATTTACGAGTCCGCCCTGACGATGGACCGTTTTATTCTATCACTGTTACACTGTCGATGTGCATTGCGGTAGATTATTGACGTGATCGATGGAGGCTACTATCAATTTCACTGCTGAAAGCTATATTTATTTATTTAAAGTGTTATTTATATATTTTTATTTTTATTTTTTTATTTAAAACAAAATTTAAATGGTTTCGCGAATTTAATATGAAAAAAACAGTAAAGAAATAAGTATGCAAATTATTAATATTGTGTAGTTAATAAAACTTCCATCGACGACGAGGAACAACCAGCAGTTTCATAACTATATGCAAAGAAATACATTGTAAATTATTCGATTATCGATCGGAATCAATCGGTCCGCTATTTATATAAAAGGGTGAATTCCGATTGAAAAATTCTCTTCGAGCGAGCATCAAGTTGGCGAAGAAAATCGACCGCGCTTCTTTCGCATCGGTAATGCTCGAAGAGTTTCTACCACGATTTTTCCAGGATAGAATGGAGAAGTATCGGCCGGAAATCCGAGGCTGCTCGGACCTTTCAAAGGGAGTATCGAGGCCAAACTGACGACTCGAAGAAAAAGAAACCGGTCGCTTATCGAGCCTTCCTTGCGCATGGTTTGTTTTCACTCGTAAATCACACCCGCGAAAACTACTTTTCATATCTGAAGAGCTGCGTTATCGCTAGATATCAAATTCGCGACTGCGGAATAACATCTCGGTAATCTACGTGTACAGAGTGAAATATTCGTGGGGGAAAAATATATTCGCAGACGCAAGTTTGAAGAACTTTTTTGTCGAAAAATATTTTGATGCGAGAACGGCGAATGTCATCATTTGAAAGAGTACAAAAGAGATAGCGCGGACGTTCCGAACGTTAATCGATTCTGTCAAGAGGATTCCGCAGAACAGGAAGAGAAATTCGAATTGAACGCGAAAACATATATATATATATGTATATTTCTACCTTAAGATTTTGTATAATCAAGCTGCAAAGTGGTTGTAAAATAAGACCCGTGAATAGTCGACGGTGAAATTAATATCGCCTTTCATCGTCGGAGCTAAATCGTTGTTGAAGACGAGCTATCGAAGCTCCCATTTCGTAGTCGTCGACAGATTGACAGGAGTGAACCCATTCAGTCAGACTCGGACTCGACGGGAATTGATAACGAGCCGCTGTTTGAATGCAAGCAGTCACTCAACCCTGCGTGAGGGTTTCATTTTAGTTAAATCCTTCCGACTATTCGACCGCAAAAGCGGGATCCAAGTATGCCTGATATTCTACCAGGATGGGGTCAAGCGAATCCTTTTTCCCCTTAGCAATTTCGTGACGCAGGCAGAATATCCTAAGGAGAAAAGACCGCATCTGAATACTCGGCGGAAAAGCTACGTTACGCTTGCAAACACCGCGTAATCTCGTAGAGAGCAAAGGAGATACGAAGAAAAGGGGTTGAAGTCTAGCGCCCACTGTATTGAGCGCATCTTCCATTCCGCCCGGTCTCTTTCTCGCCAATACCGGGGGATGAACACCGAACGAAATTCACTCATGCGTAAGGAGTGAGACGACCGCGAAACCGGAATTGCCGTCCCGATGGGACAGAATCGCGTTTCCAGTGCGGCGCTATCGAGGGAAGAAGAACGTCAGCACTACCGCGTAGCTCGATGGACCACCACCAGACGGAATCCGGGGCAGGAAGGAACGGGAATGGCAGAAGTCGCCGGAGATGTTATTTGGGAACGGAACTCGATCGTTGAAAGTTGGATGACCGAGGTGTAGCCGCAGCTTAGAAATGGAAATAGCGATGATCACGGGATAGTTCCTGGAAAATATGCGAGGATCATCCGCATTTCGGGTGACGTCTTTTGTACTTTTATAGAAGTCTCGCCGTCATCGGAGTCTGCCCGGGACCAATCGCTTAGCTTCATTAAAGGCTGTATCGATCATCTTCGTCCTCCTCGTTTATCGATATTCGAAAGAACTGGTGCCTTGGTTGATTCGTTCCGGTATTTACACGAGGCTGGAGATCGAAGGACTCTTTTTCTCTCATTACTTGAAGAAGCGAATTATAAATTAGAAGACTCTTGCGCTGGATATTTTCCTTTCGATCGAATAATTACTGCCTAATTGATAACCCATCAGAGACGAATAAAATAAATCGTAAGCAGATAGAAACATCTGTGTTGGACGTTTAGCTTTGTAATCTGCATAAAAATTAATTCGACAGAAAGAGTTAGTTTGCTTCTGTTTGTACGGATTTTTAAATTATTCGATGATTTCGAATTTTTATTTAAATATATATTTCGAATGATTTAACGTAAAATTAAAAATATAAAACAAAATAGTTTTTTTACAAGTATAAAAAAAATATATAAAAATTCGTACTAATCGCGCGAGTGAGCTGTTTATTTAACGAAATATCGATACTAACTTATTGACATTTATCGAGCAGTCTTCAAGGAGAACGGTGCCTTGCTCAATCGCTCAATTTTCGGTGATCTGTAAGTCGAGCTTCGTACGTTTGAGAAAAAAAAAATTCGTAATCTCTAATCGTGCACACGTTCCGCTGGATATTTTTTTCTCCGATACAAGTTTATCCGGAAAAATCGTTCGTAAAGAATGTGAAGTGCTGGCCACGGTTCTTCCTATCTCCGGCAAGAGATGTTCGCAGAACGGTTATCTTAATTTCTACGAATGAAATTGTACGGATGACATTATCGGGGGAAGTAAAAAACGATGAAATGTGATCGAAGCCACCCTTCGATTCGATCTTTCTAAATAACTCGGAACGAACATCGAATTGAATTGTATTTCCCTGTAGCGCGACGACGTTGACGTCGAGACGACGACAACAGGAACCGTGAATCTGGGTCAGAGAAGAGGATTCTAGACGATAAACATCGGAAGCTCTCAGTCAACGCGAGCAGAAGTCACTCTTGAGAAATGGCAAAGCTCGTCAAGTAATAATTATCAGTATTCAGCAAACTACGAAATTAGACAAGACTTTCATTCAAATCTAGAGTATACGAAATAATTGTTTCAACGATAACGATTCACTGCCAAAGAAAGAATTTAATAATTCTACACTTTAGAAAATCTTGCAAGGAAGTCGTGAAAAAAACATCGATTGACGCAAATTTGAGAAAAACATTGCACATATTTTTCTTTGCTTAATTACAATCGCAAGCTTGTAAAAATAGTAGACGCTCGTTTAAAAAAAAAAAGCGGGAGGACGAAGGTAGACAAAAAAGGAAGGAGAGACAAATACGCACCGAAATCGGTGATATGTGTCGCGCTGGCTCCCGGAGCCTCGATGACCTTGACCCCGCGAGTATGAAGCACCCATCGAGGTCAGCGGGTCTCGAGGTTGCTATGGCGCTCTTCGGCATGGTTTGGCTGTTGCGCGTCCAGTCTGAGATGCGTCGTTGCTCGAAATGTCGGCACGAGGCGATGCTTGCTCAGCAGCAGCAACAGCAACATCAGCAACAAGTGCTGCAGCAGCAGCAGCACCATCATCATCATCATCATCAGCATCACCAACAACAACGCACTCTATCGCAGGCTACTAGTCTGCTGCAGACGATGTCCGACGACGGTGTTAGCTCTTCCGCCAACACTTTATTCACGTTGGACACTCCTGGAGCGGCTGGCCCGGCCGGAAGTTACTGCGAAGTGCACGGATACATTCAGGCGAAAGAAGGTAGAGTGCTATTCATCTCTCTTATTGCTTATTGTTTCTGTCGGGACAATTTTTCATTTATTTACGTTAAGTAAATCTTCATTGATGTACATTAAAAATTAAAATAAATTTGATAAAAGGCTGCAAATATAAAAATTCAAATTATGATTGAAAGTGAAGTCATATATAAAGATAAGATTCTTTAATCTAATGTCTAATAATGAATTACAATAAAATGTGAGAAAAAAGAATTAAACACAAGTCCTCTTAAAGAAAAATACAGAGCGAATGTATTTTTCTTTAAGAGGACTTGTGTTTAATTCTTTTTTGTCACATTTTATTGTAATTCATTATTAGACATTAGATTAAAGAATCTTATCTTTATATATGACTTCACTTTCAATCATAATTTGAATTTTTATATTTACTGCTCTTAACAGCCTTTTATCAAATTTATTATAATTTAATAAGAGCCTTGACTTACTATGATTTAATTAAAAATTAAGTTTCGTAGAATACGATATATAGCAAATATAACATATATAATATACATGTATATATAAGAGAAAAAACTACTTTGATTTTTTTTTTCGTAAATCGCATATCGTATGCATTATATTTATTTTTAACACGCAAATATTCTTTCAAAGTCGGTCATTGACCGCTCAAATGTGAGCTTTGTGGCAAAGTTCCAGATTCCTTAGAGAATAGAATAGAGAACGAGTAAAGATACGAAACTTTTGTAGAGAAATTATACGAAATATAGTGTTGCAGCGTAGTTTTTATTGTTCGTATCGTGAAAATACCGGCGTGCGATAATAAGAAAAATCGTTTCGAGCGAAGAAAAACAGTTCTCAATAATTCTTCGCATTCGCTTAAAACACGATTAAATGTTAAATCTTTCAGAGATAAAAATATCGTAAAATATATGATAAGTAAAATACATCGTAGAGTAATGTGTATAACGGAGATTATCGATACAATTGTTACGAAGCGGCGTCTCTCGAGCACACGAGAGTAAAAAGCTTTTCTCTCTTTCTCTCACTTTTTTAATTTTTTATTTTTGCCGGACCATCCCGAAGCACGCGACCTACTTTGATTCTCCAGTCAGTTTTACGCCATAAATTCCAAAAGTTTGGCTGCGCCTCCGATCTTGCTCCGGTAATGCGTGCTCCGGCGTATTGCAGGGGTGGAAGAAAACTTTTTTGCCGAGAGTACCTGTCGTGATGCAGTCAAAACACGAAACTCGGTCGTTAGGAAACATTATCGACAAGACAGTGATAGATGACGCGCTCACGTGCGTTTTAGAGCGGCATTATTGTCGGAATAATGAAGAGAGGACTCACGTGTGTACATATAGAAAAGTGGGGTACAGAGTCCGATCCAAGCGATAACGAGAATCGAATGAAACTTCCGTTCGCGAGCCGAGCACAAAAGGGAGTTTTCCACGAGCTGTTATATTTATCAACGCCCTTCATCTGCCGGCTACATTATTACGACGAGTTGCCGAAGGAATTTATTACGCGCTGCTTTTATGCGACGCCCTCGTTGTCTCGCGGACAGCAAAATGCTCGCACGTCCCTTTCCATTGTATTCGTTCGCGATTAAATAAACGCGAGGCCGAAGAATCGCTCGAGAGCTATCATTAGCTCTGGGCGGTGAAATGTGCCTGAATTGCGCCAGATGTTCCTCGTCTCGCGAATGTCAACGGTTTCTCTTTACGGCAGTCTCCGGCTGGAAAATACTCCGAGATAACGTGCGGGATGCTAATGCACCCGCGAGACGCAGTTTAACGGATAAGCAAATTGTTTTCAATTATCGTGGCAGATAAGCGAACAGTCGTTCTTAGCTCACAGCCGAGGCTTACGTGAATACAGTTGTTCCGAAATGTGTACATTAGCAGACGCTTAACGGTGGCGAAAATTACCTGTTGTTATGTTAATATCTTCGTGAACATTTAACAAGAGTTGGGTATAGCATGTAATATGGAAAAGGGTTAATTTGTATATATGCACACGTGCGTACATCCTCTGTGAATTATTACAACATCAATGAAATATGAGCTAATGAGGATTAATTAAGATTTAATTATTGGATAATAGTTTGAAGAGAGCATGTTAATTAAAAATTTCCGAGGGAGTAACCACTTAATGTAATCGTGGGACAGTGTCCCCGAAATCATTATGAAATCCTTATGAAATCCTTATGAAATCCCGTGTAATTGTTTGCAATCAGATGTAATTGATAAAGTCAAATGAAATCATGCGGAATCATTAGAAATCATAATAAAATCATATGTAGTCAGCAGAAATCATTTTGAATTTTCGTGTAATCATTGGAATCATGTGTAATCATTATGAAATCTGTAATGAAATCATGTGTGGCACGAGCACTTTCCGTAGTAAATTGCGATCAAATTCAAGATAAAATGCTATTTATAATTTTATGTGTCACATAAAATCCTAAATGATTACATGTGCAATCACGAAAATGCATTGTGTAATCAGATGAAATCATTACTTTTATGAAATGATTTCATATGTAATGAAAAAAATCCATTTGCAATCAGATGAAATCATTTGTAATCAAATGAAATCAATTATAATCAGATGAAATCGTTTGTAATTAGATGAAATCATGAAATCAAATGAAATCATGAAATCAAATGAAATCATGTAATCTGTGGGACAACATTTTAACTAGTGGTTACCCCCTCGAAAATTTCTTCCATTCCAGTATAATAATGTGATTTAACTTCCTATCAGAGTGAAACTCTTTATTAAACAAAGAAGAAAAATAATAATAACGTAAACGTGCCATGCGAATGCTTAGTTTGTCCATTGTCGCCGATTCCGGCGAGATAAAAAAGATAGAGTACGGGTTCGAACAAATGAGTCGGAGAGAGGCTGGGCAAAAATTGTATTCTTCTAGGATAATCATGTCGCTCGCGTGACACAAGCCTCGCTTTTACGCGTCTGTTAGTCGGCGCTGCGATATAACTAAAATTTCGCCGAGCTTTCCCGGCGGAAACAAAGAAGAGCGACTGGCGAGGGAGAAAGCCCTCTTGTCCGACGGATTGTCTCTTCGTCCGGTATTTGTCTGTGATCGTGCACCTACACGCGCAGGCATCAGAGAGAACCAACTCCACGTATACGTACCACGTACGACCTAGTTATGAAATAGTTTTCCTCGCGCGCGACGTAACGGCGACTCAGCGGTATCGCGCTTTAAAGCTGAAAGCATGTTCGTGTTGTGTGCGAATTGTGTGGTCGCCGTATTGTTTCGAGTTTATTATCTTCCACTCAGCCTGCGGCCGTTCCGCGACGGGGACGCGGAAAGGTTAGATAAAATGACAGAAGGACCGATTGAGAAAGTAAAGAACGACAGGCAAGGATGGCTGGAAAAGAGTTTCGGACTTTTGTGATAATAACGCCAGGAATGCTACAAATATCGTGATTCTGTTCAACACTCTTTCTAAAGATTCTGTTATTAAAACTATTAATTCATGTTTCGAATTTATCATTTTTCTTTTAGATTAAAATTAGAGGATAACTCGAAAATAAATTTGAAAAAAAAACATCGTGAGAGAACAAATGTGGAAAATTTTATTTTATTTTTTTGTTTTAATATTTGCAATGAAATATTCATCATACTAAGTTTATAATACTTTTCTTCAAAGATTTACGTACGAATGTGGGATGGGCAAGCCTTTGAAAGTGTGAAAAAAATGTCGTATTAGTTAGCTGCCATAATTAAGCGATTATTACAGACACGAGTGGTACATATACTCCTTCATAATTCTGAATATATTCAGTATACGTCATTTTGCGAAGATGAAGGTAGTTAGGCGAACCAACGTCCAGCATTATGCTGTACTAATGAGCATAATTAAAAAAGTCTGCTTCTGAAACGCGCGTTCTGGATATATGTTACGTGTTATATTAAAAGAGAATTTCATCTGTCTGCGAAATAATGACGCATTCTTCTCTCCACTCTCTCTCATTAGGACATAAAAATTAATTTAAATTGCAACTATCTTTCATTTAAATTAATCCAAAATCAATCATTTATTCAAAAGTTATATAACGATTTGAAACTAGCATAATTAAAAATGATCGATATATTTATTGTAATCTTTCATTATATACATTTATGAATAAAAAATAATTTTATTATATATTTTAGTTTCAAGAGACTTGGAAAAGTTGAAAATGTAGAAACTATTTTGTTGCTTTCAACCAAAGAATAAAGACGAATTCCAACGTTTGTCTCAGTTTTTATTTCTACGTTGTTTCTATGTGCAACTGAAATTTTTAAAATTATTTGCATACTGTAAACAGAGAAAGACGAGTATATTTTTATTTGAAATGCTTTGAACAATTTTTGGTAGAATAATAGTATTTTTTTGTAAAATATTACTTTTTACCGCTTTGCAGCAAAATTTTAATTATGAATCTGGTTGCAAAATTAAAACATTTTTTTAGATTTTTTGCAACAAACGAAATATTAAAATTTCTATATATATATATATATATATATATATATATATATAAATTATTAAATATATCTATATATAAGTAAAAAAAATTGTATTAATGTGTGCCAATATAATATTTCTTTACTATAATATTCTGTGTAATCTGTTTCTGATTCTTCACGTACGAATATCAAATTTGCGATAGTTGATAGTTTCTACTACGCGATTTATGCGTAAATCGCAAATACTTAGAAAATTGCAAATTTCCAAAGAACATTAGACGCGTGACGACTATTATTCGTTGCTGTTCCAATGAAATGCGCAGGAAATGATCGTAAGAAGCCCATCGAGAACATTTTGCGAGCCAACCTCGATAGATCCACAGAGGATTTTTATCCCAAAAGTTATAATTTCACATCTGAGAACTTTCGCCCGATTTTGTCCAAACTATACGTTTTATAAAACATTTTACGAAAAATCTGTGATGGTTCATTGCAGCTATAAAAACTTTCGAAATGCATTTTTTTAATTAGATGTTATAAAT